CGATGAGGGGCTATATATATTATATTATGGTCGTGTAGCGAAACTGCCATCAGACGCGGAGCTCTCTGCGACATCAGCACCAGAAACAGCACCGGTGCACTGGCTAGCGGTAGTTGCACACGTGACGTTAACGAAAGACAAATCATGCGACAAACGGGTGACAGGTGAAGGTGACAAATTACCGACGGTGCAACTGGGACACTGCACCGTGCTGCCACGTTGGCGACACCGTCTCTGCCAGTAATTAATATTATTTTCAGACCAATTCACGAAAGCTAACTATACACGAAATATAACTGTATGGATCGAATTGACGAGTAGTCACTGCCAAAGGGGTTCTGTTCTGTTACACACTTACCGACCGCGACCGCGTCGTAACAATATTATAATGATTTCCAGTCAAACACAATGCGTGGTGTATCCGATGGTTTTCTTAGTATAAATATTTACACATGAAAATAACGTTAAATTTTTGTTTACAGAAAAGACGCGCGCGTTAAATCGTTTTGGAATAAATATATTACAGCTTTAAGCGCTTCGGTACAAAACAGAGAAGTCATTAGTTCTGTTTTTATAGCGCCTAGCCAGCGGAGTGACGTTAAGATCAAATGAATGAAAACGCTTGTGAAATTAAGTCAGATTATTCTTTGCATATCCTCAAAGACGAGTTAAAACCGTGCGTGAGGAAAATATTTTAGTCGAAAAAATTAGATAGTTTAGTAAATAGCTTGGATTAATCCAAAAGTCAACCGTTCATGTTTAAATGTCACAATGTTTTCGTATTGTAGTCCTCCGTTGAAGTTCTTTTAAATATTTCTTTTAATATTTTTTTACCAGTTTTAACTCTCTTATGAATGATTATCGTAGCCGGTTGAAACAAGAACGGATACTATGCGTGGTCATCCGTGGGAATGATTCACAGCAAAACAAATCTGCCTCGCCGTCGTCGTTTATCACCTTGATCGAGGTAAATACGTTTGTCTGTTAATTACGATCATGATCTTATGTATAAGTCCGTTAAAACGTGCTGATCGTAGCTGTTGTGTTCTATATTATGCCGTGCGATTCGCCATTGCCATTCATTTGAAGTCTGAATGGCCAGACGGATAAATCATTGTGACCGCCACTGCGGACTGTGCACGGGATTGCTCCCCGTCGGGATTACACCAGTTCATATTATATACTTTTTCGGTTCGGTCCTCGAAAACTTGTAATTTTTATCTATAAAAGAGACTCCTCTCCGCCGTGGACAGAGAACGATATTTTCTATAAAAAAAAAAAAACAAGTCGTTAAAATAATCGATACAAGCACGCGAAGGCGTAGATTTACGGCGTCGCCTGCCGTCTTTCCACCCTAAAGTCGGACAGTTTTTTTCACACAAGTAGACCGAAGTGCGTAAACTTGTATGGCAAAAACATTAGGACAGCTGTTCCCATCGCTACCCGAACCCATAGACTCACTGAGAAGCTAAGAAACTTTAGCCAGACCACTTGCTTAGATAGATTATTATGTTTGATCTAAAACGCAATTATTACAGTATCCGCGATAGACGTAGCGGTCGACCAGGAATCAAACGATTAGCCGCCATGCTCTTATTTTATATTTTGTCATTTCCAGATTAAGTACCTTAGTTTTATCAAAATCTCAATACTTTTTTTACGTTTCTCGTGATTATTATTTTTTATAAGTACAACGAAAATGACATGTGCAATAGACTCTTCCAGAAACTTGACAATCGATATGTTTGCTTGGTCGGTTTTTCAATTTTTGGAGAAAACAATAAATATTTAATTTGCTATTATTTGAAAAAAGTTTTTTGTCGAAAAAATTTACCCAAAAATTTGCATTAAGTGTTTTCGAAAATATTATCCTTGTCCCGGGTATTGTCTTGAGGAAAACAATTTATCCCGATTTAACTACATTTTCATTTCCATGTCCGTCGAACGGTGAACCAATATTCGTTTGGTTTAGCATAGAATAATAATACTATCAACGAAGCTTGCCCGTGAAATTTTCAGTATTAAACAACTGATAAAAACCACTGGTCGGTTTTCTTTACACACGAATGATGCACACTACTTACATACTGGACATACTGGTTTCCTGTGGGCTGACCTCCTATATTCGACTCATTAGATCCGGAAGGCGTTTTATTATTATTGTTGTTGTTTTTTTTTTTTTTTTGTTAGATATCGTTCAAAACTTGAAAACCACAATTTGAGCACCTCGAGCGGTGTGTCGACATAATATTATTACAGCCTCTTTGTTTTTACTTAATTGTATTCAACAAAAAGCCTCGTTCGTTGTACTACATACAATCTGATGGCTGCCGCTCCGCACGCTTGTCTAATTATAGAGTTAAAGGCTAAAATTACAATATGATTATGACGATGATTATGATTTCTCATTCCACGTTGGCATATGAGCCATGTTACCCATGTGTTCTTCCCGGAGCAACGTTAACACCATGCGCCGCTTGTGTGCTGTGCTATGCGTGTGCTCTGCCGCCGCCGTGCCGACTTATCAGATCGACCGAAGAACACCGCAGTAGTATTTTGTCAACAGCTTGCAGCGGGCGGAAATTAATGGGAGCGATAAACATATTACATACCTTTCTGTTTTGGATCTTATATCAAAACGAAAATATATTAAAAAAAGGAAAAAAATAAACGAATGAATTCTTATCTTGGCGGTTGGCAGCTAAGCGGTAGTCGGAATTCACGTAGTTCCAACTTTTTAATTACTTTTTACTATTATTGAAGTTACAGGATCAGAATAGATTAAAGTGTATGTGTGTGTGTGTTTATATGATACCGCATCTACTTTAATACCCTAAACAACGTAACTAAAAGCCGAGTACACCCGCATTTGAGATCAAACAATAGCCAGATAAACGTGGGAAACGAGAATAGCAAACGGCTATTGTTATCCTCGATCGAGACCACTCGGAAATGGGTCCTTATACGAAATTAAACAAAAATGGTATTGTTGTAATGGTAGTTATGTAGTTCGAATGTCGAATGTTTACCTCTGGATTCGGATTTCGGCGGTATCGGCCTGAAAAGTTTGTCTCAACCGCTCCACGTCGAATCTACCACCGGCCACCGTTTTACCCGTATAACCCTTACCTGTAGGCTATAGGTGCACATAATTCCAGCAAACGACACCCGCAAGTCAAGGTGTTTTCCGATATTATTATATCATCATTATTATTATACTGTACCTCGAGTAAACGACCGGCGGCCTGTCTGTCGGCTTCGTCTAAACGACCAAGGTACGTCAAAAAGGATGATTACAACAAAGAAATTTAATTACCGCAGGTGGGTGAGAACCGGTCGGTAACGATCACGAATTCATGATTTTTATTATATTATAATATTATTAAAACGATTAAAATTCGGAAAAACCCCCTTTTTATCGGCTTTACCCGTCAATTACGACGAGCGGCATCCTTTTTTTTTATGAAATCGGGAAACACCTATAGCGTCAATATGCGCTGCCGCCTTAACCTCTCTCTCTAATTACAACCCATGATCGCCTGTCAGAAGTAACGCGTACACACCCAATAATAACACTCGATCGGTCTAACGTTGCTCGGTTTAATATTATTATGATCGAGCAACCGTTTTTCTAACGCGCAGTCTTACAATGACGAGGTCAAAGGTGCCGTCTTTTCATACAGAACGCAATTGAATTAGATCGTTCAATAGGTTTTAACTACTCGTTAAAGGTGAAAGTTTCTTTGTGCTGTTCAACTGCTGTGATCATATCTCAAACCCTACTCATATAATATAATAAATATATTTCATTGCATTAAGCCTATAAAACCGTACAAACGCAATTAAACAGTTAAATAATGAACGCCCGTTGTCCACGTTTGCTGATCTTTGTATGCTGCAAATTTGATATAGTAATAGGGAGTGGCCTATAAATGTGTTAGTCTTAAAAATATTTGTACAATTTTTTCTTCACCCCTACACAACGCATGGCCGTTTGTTAAATCATTGTAGTTCGTTGGTATTCATAACACTTAGTGCGTTGGTTTTGCCTTGCATGTATACACCTGCCCATCACATAACACTGTAAATTATCATTGTAATACGATGCTTCAAGTAAATGCATGTGTATACCATTCGGTCGTTGTACAACAGTTAAAGGTATCTCCGGCTCGACGACCGTTCTCCTTAGGTTTATACGAGTATATTCAATACATTCAAATATTTCCATCTCTTCAAATATACAATCAAGCGTACCACACTCCTGACAATAGACTGTACTAAATCGTAGATCCTTCGTACTGCCGGCGGTCAAGACGATTTTTTTAAAACGGTATTAGTCCACCTAAATCTGGATTAAATTACAAAACAAAAGACTGATGGTTAAAAGCTGAGTTTTATTAAAAATTTAACCACGTTTATTTACATATTATTATAGAGGAACGTTCTGGGACAGCGCTTAGGAACTTATTATTGTTTTAACAATGCACTCGAAACACGAGGAAAAAAATGAAAACGTATATAGATATATGAACAGATCAGACCGAGAGCGCGCGGCATAAAATGAGCACTTTTGTATTGTATTTTTTACTTCGAGTGTAATTGACCTTAAATGTTCCATATATAGAACTTTTGTTTTCTTTATTCCCCCTTTTCACAATGAGAACGCACATTATTATTAATGTTGGTCAATAGGTACCTACGCCATTATACAATATAATATTATAGTAATACAATGAGTGTATTTTATAATATAAAGGTATCCGACAAAAAAAAAGCAATAAACGTGCAAATATCATCGACACTGTGAATACATATAATATATATATATATATATATATATGTAGTAGTAATCCAACGCAGACACTTAAATAGTGAAAATAATTCTAATGAGCTAAACTAACAATGACAGTAACCCAGACTTAGGGTCGACAACCGCGCATAAAAAAACCCGATTACGATCTTGTACTGATGTTTTTTTTTTTTACTTTTGCTTGTTGCAGGTCATAATATATGTGTCGGTAGTGAAGAAAACTAATGGCACCACAATGATGTCGACGATCAAATGGATTTGGCTGTGTTGTGTCCTCCTAGGATACAGATGGACCGACGCCACGGACCTGTGTAAGTGCAACGCATTGAATTAATAATTCAATTTTAGTAACCGTGCATTTAGCTGTAAGATTAGAAACACATTTCACAATGGACGGGTAATGTCACTTTGTGCGACACGTGTAAAGTTAATGTTATCGAAATAACAATGTTAAAAAGCTACAACATCAATTTTTGTTTTATGCGCGTACAATTAAACTGTTTGATGTACCTGTATATTGACTGTTGTATGTTTTTGACTGTCGGTCGACGTTGGAAGGACCGTTCATTACTTAATGAATGAACGGGCGCGAAGGGGTTATAACATGGGAGAAGTTGTAAGGCATTAAGACGACCGTGACGTGTAATTGGAACCTGAACGTCATGTCGCGGCCGTTTTAAAAATAAACGTGTAAATACGTTTCTTTAGCATTATTCAATGTACCTAGTAACACGCGTTTAAAATATGTCTAACATTTATGTTTTGGCTCCACCGATGTAATAGTGTTATGTGTATACGTGTGTTTAGCATGTTAATGACTTGTACTGTGTTTTTTAACACATAAACGCGTCCCACGTTTGCGGTAATATTACATTGTTGGCGTGAACAATGTTGTCTGATGACTTAAACTATATAATAATATTGCTATTTTGTCCAGCCATAACTAGCATATATATGGTTATGGTTATATTATCATAAATCATAAAACGTATTGTACAATCAATCGGAATACTTCTTGTCCATTTATTTATCTTCTCGTCTTCCAAGTTGAACTGTATAACTTTTACTCGTTGAACTTTTTGTCTACTTCTACACATTCCAAAGTCTAAGGTAATGGTATTGTATATTATTGAATATTGATAATACCTATACTACAGTATAAACAACTCATTATACATTTTTTATTTTTTTATATGTTATGCTTCTATAATGATTGAGTTGCCGGATGGGTCGTTGATATAATAGTGCTCATGGGTATAAAAGGTCCTATGTCAATATTTGATAAAAATGAGCTGGACCCACTAAACATGCAAATTAAAACACCTTTCATGTGGTGCACAAAAACGACATCCCCAGAACAAAAATTGCAAAAGTTATAAATAGTTTTGTTTACATATTTATTACAGTCATATGGAAAACTTTAAAACACGAAAGTTAAAAAAGTGAGAGATTGGCCCAAGGTCACATACATTTTCTAAATATATCTTTCCTATTTTTCAACAAATACGTCGTATGTTCTGAATTCATAATTTTAAAGATTAAGCATACCTACCCGACATCTAATTGACAGTAGTGTGGCGATAGCTTTTTGTTTTCTCGTCGGATAATTATTCAGAGTTTATTGTTTTTAATGACAATGTGGCAGATCTTATACATTGACGAGCGACTGTTCGTGATCAAAGCCGACTCAAGTGAAAACATAGCTTCTTGTGGATTACACTGTTCTGTGTGTGACTTCAGTACACTCGGTTTCATTGACTTTTACTGGTGCGGGAAGGCAAAGGGATTCTAATTAAAAGTTGCGGCAGGTGAGCAACGAGCGAGACGTCCCAGGAATACAGTGTGCAGTAAAACGTGTTTATGCGTCAGATAATTAATCGGAACACAGCTGTTCTAATTACAAGTGCGCCTCCCTACCACGACGATTGTTTGAAAAGGGGTCGAATTAATTTTTCAACATCACCTACAATGCAGTTTAAAGCATGTTATTCCATCTTTGCACAGTTGTGTTTAACCAGAAAAAAACAAAAACGTTAGTCTTGTCTGGACGCGCGACAGACAGGCGGGAATACAGGAATTACCCCCAGGGAAGTTTTGATTAGGTCCAGGTTGGTAAAAAAAAAAAAAGGTTCACACAAGGAGCATAAGGATGGATCCGATAGCACTCTGTCAAAAACATTTACTTCGCCGAACATCGAATCTCGTTATGTTTGAATTCAAACTCTATTATTGTATATTGATGACGATTATTACCTAATAAATTATTATTAGTATTATGCTTTAAATAATAAGTACAAACACAGTGGGATAAGCTTTTCTCTCACACGCTGTTATTGTATTCCCACCGCCGAGTTGCACCTAAATCTCAATGTCTGTCTCGTACGAAAAGGCCACGTGCGTGCAATTTCCGCAATGATAAACCGAAACGGCTAGACTGGGCTTTCTGACATGTGCACCCGACGGGTGAACGCCTCTGTGCGGGTGTATAACGACCGACGCAAACATATAAATGAATACTTAACGCTTGAACTAAACGGCACATTGTATAATATTTTGTTGGCCAAAGAGCACGCGCGTACAAAGTTAAAAAAAACCATAATAATTTATTTCGTACGATGGTTTTTTAAACGGCCAAAACTAAAACTGTTTTAGTGTCAGTTTCGCTGATTTCGATTTTTGCGCATTTCCTTCTTCCGAATAATAATTACTTGAAAATCGCAGACTAAATTTACCGAACTCGACTTGTACATAGAATTATAAAAAAAAAGTAATAATTCCACATTTGCCTTTCGCACATTCAATCCCATTATCTGATCCGTGCAGTGTACATGTGACATGTACGCATTGGCTTTATCTTAACAACCGTTTTATACTTCCATACATACTAAAGTCAACGACAATATAATACAATAACCAGATGTCAGTTATTATTGACATCGTTTCCAACAAGACATGATGCTTACACTGTTTCCGTAAAAATATTTCTAGTGACCGGGCCAATACTCTAAAATTATATCACTTCCCTTTTAGATGTTTCCGTAGACTGCTGGAATTCAATCTCTAAGAGATGTGTGCACAGTGATTAATAATGGCAGCATAACGCAAGTAAACATTAGTAAACAATGGATGCAAACTAACCGGAACACCAACACTGTTGGTCATCGATAAGGCCATCCCCGAGGAATATATTATGAATTCCTGTTTTATCATCCGGTCCAGCCCGTTATCAGTTCATACCCTTGTCCTCGAGGTAACAATCATAAATTTACACGCCCGTATTGGGTCACAATAAATATACATGTATAGTATATATATATATAATATGAAATATATATATATTATATGAAATCACTGGGCTCGCTTATCAATTCTAGAGATGATGGGATAATCTTGAAAAATAAAGCCTGATTCTAAATTACAATTCCGTTGGGAATAATTATGTTCAGTTAGTATAAAATATTATCTTCATGTGATAATTAATCATAATTTGTTATGTGCGTGCAAACTTTGATATTATGCGTTTCAATTTTTAAAGTTTTAAATATAACACTAAAAATCAGCATGTAATTAAGTACATAAAAACATAAATGTCGAAAAATTTCAAAATCCAACAAAAAAAAATCGACTTTTCTGTGAACACTGAAATAATAATTGCCATTGTTATTACAAACACCGACCACAGCGCACAGTAGTATTATGAAAATGTATAAATTGAAATAGTTTACCTCTGGTAAACATTACGGTTACGTTATGAATAAAACATAACAAAATATAATCACAAACCGCTAACGAACTTTTGTGTAGGTATTTCTAAAAATTAATACATTATTATAATACTAAACGTTTAAAATATTTAAATGTAATTGTCGCTCTCCGCACAAAGTGTATGACATAATAAATAATGTAGGTACATTCTTATGAATAAAACAACGTTAACACTGGAAAATCAATTAACCGTTTAAACCATCGCCACGCATACATTTATTATTACAGCTATGTTTGTGTATATTGTATAATATTGGCACGTTTAGACGTGATTCATTGAAAAGATTTTCAAAACAATAGTGTGCGCTACATTGACGTTTTTTAATCCATTTATGCTAGAAGAGCGTGTAAATAAAGTAAACAACTATTCGATTGGCGCTAGAAAAGTGGAAAATTCTATTCGACGCAAAACGTCTGGAATGAGATGTGTCGTAGTTTTCGCTCACTGTAAACTTTTAGCGGTGACTAAAAAACCAATACCGGGAATAGTAGGTAGGTAGGTATAATATTATAATATATTGCGCTGTGGTGACAATAAACAAATACCCTTATATGGCGTCTTATGGTGTCATTGTTTTCCTATCTCTAATCACGTTATCACTCGGACACGGACATTACCACGGATACCGTTGTGTTGTGCAGTTAATATTTGTAATTTTTTTTTTTTTATGATCTTGACGTGACCGAACGGTATTCGCTTTGCTTAACATAATACCATTATTTTTCATTCCCTGTCAACGAGGAGGCGTTCGGAATTTTGGCTGGCACTTGAAAACTCAAAACTATACGGTATTCCGTATGCGGTGGCAACGGGCAATTAACCGATAAGTTTCCAACCGGCATATGTATCACGGTCGCTGCACCCCACGCGCTTTTTTATTGATAAAACAACTCTCGAACAATCGTCAAAAGTTTATAGCGTTTGACGCTGTTTTCGTGGGAAAACTCCACGTGACTGATAAAGTGTTCGCATCAAACGCATCCTATAAGAAACCAAACAGTTCTGCAGTGAAAGGTCTCACGATTGTTGTCCCTCCCGACCAATATGGCTGCGATGAGTTGTATCGTTAATATCGATTAAACGCACTAATCGGTTTGAACGTTTTGCTTTTGGAACATGTTTAATGAAGCAAATCGTCGATGCGTTCGGCTTCGTTAAAATAATTTTTTTTTTTTTTCAAAAAGAATAATATTGCCGAGAACACGCGAAAATAATCACGACAAGAGAGATAGGGGGGGGGGGTGAGAAAAGGGGAACTTCCGAAGAAAAAATATACATCTCGCGATTTTTAAAGGGGTGGCACAATATAACACAGTAAAGGTCTCGGAGACAAAATGAAGCGGAAATTCGCTTTGAGCGTAATGACGCGTCTGGTAAAGAAGCGGATTTGGTTGTCCGAACGGTGGCAGTGCACAGGGTGCTGCTCGAAAACGGTTGTCGAAAAAGCGCTATAACTCATGATAAAAACAACAGACTCGCAGTTCGGTGCACCCTGTGGGCTCTTTTGGATTTGTTTTCAGCGAGAAACTAAATAACGATGTCGTCGTCGTTGCCGGAGGGGTGATTTTTGCTTAGGCCGAAAAAAATCGGAAAAGCAAAATACACTACAGGTTCTCCTCTGTGCTTGTGAGCTGTAACATACAAGTACAAAACGGATTATTCTGATCGCTTCAACGAACGGCAAACGTTCCAAAAAGTCTAAAAGACCCGTGTTGACTTATAAATGGGCTACTGTCCTCGAGGCGAACGCGCGCCGGCCGTGTTAAAACCAGCTTGAAAACATATAAGGCCGGCGAAGTGTCGAGGAAGACGGATAAATTAAATTAGAACTTACCAAGTTTCTGATCGGGTATTCCTGGATAGTTTCCTACTTCTACCTAGTGCTTTATGTGTGTTTATTTTTAAATTACACAACAAGCGACAAGAACGAATTCCTTTTTTACAAAAACTATATTTTTTTTAAATATAAAGAAACTTTTTTTTAAGTTCTTATTTAAATATCTTTCTCTCTTTTTTTGTTTTTACAATCATACAGTATCTATACGGTTAACTAGTATAACTATATCTTGTTAGTGAAAATATTAAATAACGTTCTACTCTATTATGTTTTATAAGTGTGTCCAAAGAGTTCATTCAGCTGTCAACTATTTCAGTGCAAAAATTAAAACCTTGGTAATAATCTGAGTTTTGTTTTGTACATTTGGCGGTTATTGTTCAAACTTGAAAAATAGAACACCGCGAATTTTGCTTTGTTTTTGAAAACTATATAAGCATATTATCGTTAGCCGTTATCAATAATCAAAATAATACACAAACATGATAACACAAACATTGTGTTATTTATTTATTGAAAAATAAATGAAGTATCACTTTATGTGATCTACATTACAGTTATCTGATATTTTGGAGAAACTATAGAAACATGTTTATTAATCTTATTGTTATTGTTTAGTATTTAAATGCTGCGCATTTTCTTAATTTGTCTTAAACAAACAAAACCGGAACAAGTTGCTATTTTAGAGGAACTAGTCATGTTTTTTTAATACAAAACGAGAATCTGTAACGAGCTCTTGTTTTTGTAAATGAACAAGTATGAAGTAACTGACAGAATTTCTTTTAAAAAGCTACTTTCCTCACATTATACATAAGGGTTGACCGCGTTAACCGTCTCTATTTTTTTTTTTGTTTCCTACTCGAAAACGATCAAACCCATGTACTGGGTAAAGTAATTAACGGATCGGTAAACAACGGGGCATGGCGATTACCGACGATCGTGTGTGTTGGGAGGAGGGTGGGGGCATAAAGGAGGGCCTAAGAACATTTCTACTCGTAAGCTGAGTCGTTCCCGGCCATAGAGAAATTAATCAATATGCGCGTTTACCGGCCGGTGTTGGTTTTTTTTTATTTTGTCGGGGTCGGTCGACGGCAAAACGCGCTATTGCATTCACAAATTATATTCAACGGTTGATTTATGATAGCACAGTCTAATGACGTTTTAACGATGCGCTTTTTTTGTAAACGTAAAATAATAATTACTATGTTTCAATAGAACAATATTAGAACACGGGTACCAGGTACTATGCAGTACACGGCGCCGAGTAACACTGATCATTTTTTTTCTAATTCAATAATATAATACTATGCTTTTGAGCATCTCGCCCTGTTCACACCTCAGGATAGGTATGTGCATTGTTTTTTTTTTTTTTTTTAATGGATAAAACCGCAAAGGTCCCGCTCCTAGTCTAATCGTGAGTGAGGCGTGTGTGTTTAGAAGCTTGTCCTGACCCGGCATATTATATAACAGTAATAATAATTGTCCGTTATTAATCAGGGTATTGAATTTATGACGCGCACATAATGTGGTTGGCGTACCGCTCAATGTCATCCGACCAAGCGGTGGCGACTCCACACACACACATACACATTTCCCATAATATAATGATGCCAGTGTACGTTTTATAGTAATACAATACACAGGCTGTAATTAACAGCCGTATTCAATGCTGTTGCGACTTGCGGCTACTGCGACGGCGGCGGTTTATATTATGCTCACATAGTCTGTTGGTTTTAAATCTAATTTTCAAAGTAGTCGTCGCTCCGACCCAGACAAGTTGATTTACGGTCAACCGGTGGACACCCCGCACGGACCAATTAAACAACGCTTTTTTTTATTAGTTTATTTTTATGTCTGTTCGCAATTTTTCACCGTGGTCAGCTCCAACCGTGCACGCCTCGGTTTTTTTTGCAACTGTGACTAATTATAATTAACGTTCATCGACAGTACAAGATACATTTTTATTATAACTCAAAGCGGCCACTGTGATGTAAAGATTATAAATTAGAATATTTAACACATTTAAAAAAGTATACAAAAAAGATGTCTTTGATAGGCGACTAAATATTTAGAGATTTACACGAGCTGTCTACACATTTAACCTAGTCGATTGTTCCAGTTATTTAATCAAAATTATAATTATGATATGGTATTAAATTATTATTAATGGTAAGACATCTTTGATTTCCGACCATTTTTTATTATAATGGCTATATTATTACAATAACAACGGTATGTTGTTTGCTTATGAACATATTATTTATATAATATATATTTCGATCTGCCGCTGCCCTCGGCGGTCAAGTAGATTTTTATGAATGAACATACATACATTTTTTTTGGCAAAAAGTTTATTTAAACAGATAACAAAGACCCGGTCGTTTATCAAATATATAGTCTTCGAAATAATAATAAATTTACATTGTACGCGGCAACGGGTGATATCCCGCTTATTTGTGTATTTTATGCATTATTTAAATCCCAATGGATGCCTAATTGTCTTATTGTTATTAAAATAAACTAGATTTCGTATAAAAAACTCCCCCGTCGATTTCCTGTCCGTCGCCTCCGGCAACAGGAACTTGAGAGCTCGTTATAAGTTTCAATGTAGGCTGTCTAAACTCATACCACGAAATGTATTCATAATAACAATAGTGGACAAAATGCCGACCCGAGATCATATTTTCTAGGCAACAAAATGTGTATGTTGCTGGCTGGACATTTAATCAATATAAATGTATTGTTTTTTCACAATAAATCCTATTTTCAATGATTAACATGTAAAAATATTAACTTTGATTCCTAGAGAATAAAAAACTTATTTCAATACTATTTGTCATTATAGTTTTTGTTCTTAGTGTGCATAACAAATTAATCTGCATTCCCACCATTTTGGCGGTGGGCTAAAGCCAAGTTATCCTTTATTTTTGTTTGTGATAATTATTAAAAAAGATCAAGTCGATGGCCAATTTACACTTCGCCTGTTAGCAATCTAGTTTAATACTGATTTACTTATTTACAAGTAATGAAAATGGGTAAAAAAAATAATGCCCATTATTTCTTTGACAAGATGTTTGCAAATTTGTTTTGCCTACATATAATCCATTATACCGATTTGATATTGCGTGCATTTAAACGATTGGCATAATATGTGGGGCCGAGTGGGCTTATTGTAGGCATAGTTTAATCGTTCGAACAATATTTAAGCGCACTATTATAAGAATATAGTATATACCGATAAGATATGTACATGTCTTTTTGGCCAACGACAATAGCCCGTGACTCGTGAGCTCATCATTCGGTATAGCGATTGTCCTTTTGAATCCCCGTGGAAATATTTTACACGTGTGCCGATTCCTTCGCCGTAATCCCCCATTGCATTACTTTGTAGAAGTTTATTGTTTTTGCCGGCCATTTATGTGGTTTTCTAACCGGATTTTCAAATGTTTTCCATTTTATCTGTATTACACAAATAACGACAGTTTATTTTTTTTGTTCCGGAAAAACTTTCCACTAACACGGTTCAAACAAAATGGCGGTTTTTACTTGAAAGCACGTAGTTTAGATAACGGGCCCCAGTAGCTGTACTCGCCCCAAATACTCGGTGGATGTGTTGCCGGGGCACGACAGTATAGTAATATTATAGGAAAATTCCACACAAGCACCGCAGCTATAGTATTTTGGTTTTTGATTTTCAAAAGTACCTATAATATTCAACTCGAACAACGTTTGGCCGCGGCAAGCCGAAACTGTTCCCAAATTCCATGCTCGAGGATCGCCTGTCCTCGCTCGCATTCCTCTTATAATAATTATTGTCCGCCATTCCCATCGCATTTCCATATCATACACCTATGCTGTCTTTTTTTCAGTCCAACGCGTTTGAATTATGTGCGAACGGTTAACACCCAGTAAAACCAGCACCGTGAAACCAAATCCCATACCGCAGCAGGGTTCCCCCTAAAGTATTGAAACGCGTCTGTGAGGTCATCACTTACAGTGCCGGAGTACCATCTATATTATATTTTTTTCATTACAATATTATTATCATTGTTTTCATTTTTTTTTTTCAGCTCAATGCATGTCAGCACTCGGTATGCAGTCCGGCGCCATAAAAGACGACGATTTATCCGCTAGCTCTTCTTTCGAAATCGGAAACGTCGGACCACAAAACGCCAGGTGAGTGTTCGGTTTTATTCGTTTTTCAAAATTCACACACATACACACACACACACACTACACCATACTCTCATTCTTTAAATAAAGCGCAATACCTACCAATATATTGTAAAATGTCACTGGAGTTTTGTAAATAAAAACAACATCAGCCCCATTAATATTATTCAATACATTCGTTATCTACCCTATAGTATTCGTAAATCTGCATCAATTCTAATAAATTGGAATATTATACGGTCATCGTAATAATAACTACATACAGTAATTTATAAAGTTAAGTTAAATACAGTGTTTAAGTCAATATGCGAGCGAGCGGGGAGGAACAATCGTGCGTTATATACCTGTCAAAAGTGTCCCTCGTGGGCTTTCAACCGAACAGACGAAATACGGATAATATAGTTTTGGTGGTCAGAAAGGGATTGGTGTGAACAAAACGAGACTCGGAGCTTTGTGCTTTTAGTTTAAATTTAATAAAGGGTAGGGGTTGGCTCCCCTATTTTGAACTCTGACCACTAATGCCCCAAGAATTCGTTAATTGGAACTTGCGTTTAACGTTCCAATTTGTATCCATACTTTGAGCCGGAAGCGGATTAAAAAGTTTTACGAATACATTGCCCACGGCCAACACAACGAAAAACAATAACGGAAAAAAAAAAAGAGTTTGAAATGTTCCAAATCAAATGTGACACGACTTATGTCGCCGTCGACAATACCTATTTTATATTATGTGACTTACATTTAGAACTTGTGTCTAAAGGTATGAGATTACCAGTGGCTCAAGTTATAGTGTCAGAAGTTTTATATATTTTCCAAAAAGCCTCGTATACAGCGAGAAAAACGCATTTGTTAGGCAAGCACGTCAGGCGACAGTCTTTTTATAAAAGTTTACTTTAAGTCTGTCTCGCAGAGAACGCTTTACTTACATTATTATTTATTTAAAAGATTCCGACTGAAAGTTCAATCCCCTAACAATTAAGTAAAGAGAAAATATATAAATTATTAAACAAGTTAAACTCAGTCAGCCTCGTTGTGTATTTAAAACATTTTTGAAATCATTGAAGTAAACTTCGGATGTTATTCTGCTTTTGTACAATTTGAATAATATAAATACTTTAGTAAGGTAAATTGCAGAATTGAACATTTAAATATGCCTTTGATACATTGAACATTGATTCGAATGAATTCAAAACATTTGATACATTTCATATTGGTTTTCCTAATTCTTAGTTTTATATAATCATCATCTTGTATGTAGTTTAACAGGACTTTAAGGTCCAACGCTGTCATTATAAGCCACTCGTCCTCTATTCGTTTAAGATAACATAACTAAAAGTAAAATTGGTTCAATTAATTTTCAGAATAACTACATATTACGCCTGTTTTATTATTCCTCAATTTTTTAAAAGATATTCTGTTGCATTTGTCTGTCTAAAGACTAAACTTCTGTTTCTGGTACCTAATGAAATATCGACGTAAACTGTTTCTCAGAAAGTGACGACTTTTCAAAGCGACGTGGGTTTCAATGTAAGCAATTAAGAGTGCTATTACTATGTATATATAACGTCTGTACTGTAGCCCGACCGGGTACCGTTTCAGAAAATTAGTTTTACGTTATCTAGGCTACAGGTATAGATAACTACTTGGATTTAAACTGCGACGACTTTGGCGTATCCGAAAATGTTGAATAGCAGTTAGTGACACATCAAAGTAAAACTTCTCGGTAAACGGCAAAGACCCGTTTACTCTCTTGCTGATATTGTAAACGCTATCCAACATTTCGCATATACTAAATTTTTCCTCGCAACTCTCCTTATATAACATGCCGTGTAGGATACTCTATAGCAATTTCCTTAGACACACACAGGCTATAGAATATCTAATATAGCCTATACACATTATGTTATTATTATGATCAGCTCTATAGCGTTTTGCTGATCCGTAAGCAATGATATCCCACGTCGCCTTATCGCGTTCAATATTGTACCTGTGCTCTGCTCGACGAAAGGGTTACACTGGATAATATTATGTACATATTATGCACACGTGTATACTTCCGTCCGAATTAGTCGTAACTTAAGCTTGAATCCGACGGTTTTCGCTACGTGACAAACGTCTAATCCAGAGGTTTTAAATTTTTATATATTACAATATATTACACTGTATAATAACGCCCACTCTTTTTTTCGGTTAGTTATGTTTTACCCCGGACGACGAGTAGGTATTTTATAATATGACTAGTCTGACTTATTTTTATATAAGTCCTGTCTCGTTATATGTATGTATAAAGCTCACATATCGGACGATACTTACGCAGCATGGAAAAACTTAAAAATATTATTTCCCAGTTTTACCCGAAAGCGTTGAGTACATAGTATTATTATACAGTGGCTGTGCATAAAAGTTCCGTCTAATGAATATTAATGGCCGTTACCCGTTATCTCGGCGTTTGGGTTTAGCTGAAAAAAAAACCGTAGGGTATACCGGAGGAAAAGAGTTTTCCGTTTTTTTTTTCGAGTGACGATTCGCCGAGACGCACATGAAACTAGTTTTTGCTATCAAGATTGTGATTTTATATGTTGTTGTTTTTCCCCATAATATTTCTCTATTTTTTTTTTAATACAATGTATTATATAATATAGCAGAGGATATGTTATACAATATATATAAATTATTAGCCTCTCCTGCGACGATCAATCAAAATTCTACGGATTTGAGGTCATATAAATTGTTGTCTCCCGAGAGTCACTTTTTTATTATTTTTGCAAAAAAAAACGATATAGGTATTCTTTGTACGTGTTTGTACCTATAACAATTTATCTTCGATTATCGCCGGTTGACGTTTTTTTTTTATATATCCGTCGATATCATTACTTTTACGACAGACACACAAGAAACATTTTGTTAGTCGGTTTTGCTATTTTAAATTTATAAGTATTAACGTATTTTTGAACAGTAGTACATTTTTAACGATTTGTTTTTTGAGATGATATGACGCCATACTATTAGAGGTATCCATGACACGTCAAAGGAATTATTCGAACGTCTTCTTTAACCAAAAATAATGTTAACTTGCTGGTCGGGGATGAGATAAAAATAAAAGCTTTTACTTTTGACGCCTTTGATTTTTAATGGGAGATGAAAGTACAAAGTTTGAGCTTACAGTGACGAATGTGGTATTTGACAGACGGATAAAAATATGTCGGGAAAACTTTTTTAACCTCGCGCACAGACACTATATAATATTTATATATATATATATATAAATGTGTGTGGGTGTGTTTTAAAAGAAAGTTGCTACTTTTTATTCTCTCTCATTTTTTTTTATTATGTCGCCGAAGGGGGAATACCGCGTTGACCGAGTTAACCAATAAACGATACTGGTCTAGGAAAATCCGTCGAAAGGTAGGGAATAAAATAAACTTTTTGTCGCTAGACACGTGAAATCGCATTTAAAAGACGTTCGATAAGTTTCGTTTTACCCGGTGGGCACTAGCTCATGTCGTTTCCATTAAAGATCAGACACATTTTCGGCGTTGGCCTCCTCACAAAGCCTTTTACCAAGAATACTAGAAACACAATCTTTTACTGCTGCTGCTGCCGGCGATAGTTTTTCCTCTCTTGTAATCCGATTGAATGAATTTGTACCCGATAGCAGGTTTCTGTGATTACAAGTACTACAGTAATGAACGCAGGTCACGTCGTAATCCGACGGCATTATCCCTGGATACAACAATTTGTTTCTTCATTTTATCGGCTAGATTTTCCCCTTCCCCTTTAGCACGTTGCAACTTGCCCAGCGGAACGTTCGATTGCCGGGAATGCTTATGACATAATAAATAAATCTGACTCAAAAACGGGGTTATTCTCGAAAATCCGTAAGGGTTACAGCTTGCATTTTTCTTAAATAATAACTTTATTTCAATTAACCGTTTATGCGAAAATAATGACCCGTAGAAAAAGTTACAGTATACAATATTATAATACCTATAGTCTAAACGAAAAGTAGCATCGTCTTAACGGGTCGTGGTGATTACGCGTATGATTGAGTGCGTCTCTTTGGGGTTGCCAACGGATGACGGAAACGATGCCAACAAAAACGCCCAAGTTAATTTGCCATCCACGGGTTTATTATTATTTTTTCGGGGGGACGTCCCCGGTGGTTTATAAAAAAAACATAAAAAGTCACCACGAAGACGGAGAGGAGGTGCGTGTGACTGACAAAATATGGTTGTCGATCCGTTTTAGCTGTCGTTGGGAAGACGGGTTTAATTGGTTCCTTGATCGCGACCGTCGTCCTTCGCCGTGCAACAAACGATCTCGTTTACATTAAACAACGCGAAGTAGCGGGTGGTGTGTGCCCACTGCCCTACGCCATGTTTGTTAAAAATATACACATTACAACAGCAGCCGTGAGCTGTGTAACAGAAAAAGAGCATCGCACAACAAACGAGTAGGCGCCGTTCGATCTGTACACAATATTATACGTTATTGTAGCGCCGAGCGAGATCGATAAACTGTCGAAAGGAGTAAGTTTTCATGTGCGAGCTTAACGCGTCCTTTTAAACGCAGCAAAAAAAAAGTTGCTCGGGTAAATGGAACAAAGTCGGTCGTCGGGTTTTTCAGAAAGTCCGGCGACATTAAGAATATACGTAGGTAAATGTTCCCCTCCCTTAGAGTCCACTTCTGCCTACTCCATTATTCGGTCTTGCCTTTCAGACCGAAGTGAATGAAAAAAAAATTTCAACCATCAGTTGGATACATATATATTTATATATATATATATATATATATATATATACATACTATATAGGTATACAAAAAGGATAAAAAGAAGTCTACTCTTTAAAAAAATCAGCTTTACGGTCGGCCGGTTTTCTTAAGCCGGGCTTTGTATGGGATTGTCGATCGAGAGGTGTAGAGATTGAAGAGGGAAAGAGAGAGAGAGAACTTAATTTCGAACGGACCGATTGTTGTCGCCTTTAAGCGTTTATAAAGCTTTGGGTTATTTTTTTGCTTTGTAGTGCTAGCTTCTGTTTTCAACGTTCGAGTTTACTTATCCCGTATGGGGAAAAAACATGTAGGATATTCAACATACGTCGCACGCTGAAGTTAAGTAGTCATTAGTGAATAAATTGAAAGAATTTTTAAATGCGGAAAACGTAGTACAGAGTTTAAGTTTGAATATATATATATATATATATTAATACCGTAGAAATTAATAGCTAATCGATATTTTGCAAATCTTGTTCGAATAAATATTACATAACATGGCGTGTCATATATCTTATATTTATAGAAATAATAAACAATAATAAAATAGTTTGTCTATCGATTATATTATTATTTATTTAATATTAATACACACAACCCTGTACGCCATGTATGCCTTGGCAACGGGCTATAGGTTGATATAGAAACTTTTTTATCGGTGTTTAATGCATTGCTAATGTATGATAATATGATATTTTTCTTTTTGTGTATTCCAACTATAAAGTTAAAGAAATTAAATAGACTCTATAAATTATTAATGTATTCGTTCGTTCATCTGAATTCTGCCTATATTGATGATAAAGGCATTTTTGTCAATTATCTGATTATGGTTAACAATTTAATATACTACATAGTTGAATATTATTTTACGAATAGTAATGGATTACTCGACGATTAATTAGTATTCATGACTATAATATTTCCATGATTATTTTAAATACTCCAGTCACACCCACTAGTAATAATTGTTGACGCTTGTATATATTATTATACGAGCTTTACAAAATTCCGCTTGTCGGTTTTCGTTGACGGTTTGACCCTTACAAACACTTCCAAGGCCGGACACGTACAAAATTTAGTTTCAAACAATTAGGCCAATAATATAACAGGGTAGCCGTCTGTATAATGTATATTATGTTAGGTTTTTTGTTTGCTGCACAGTTTGCTGTCATAAAACTGTGAAATGGATTATTATAATGTCAGAAGTTGACTTTTTACCGATACGGCAAAAATCCTTTTGACATTTTCAGTTTTCTGTTTTCAACAAATCTAGGTCACGTTTTAACAACCGTATACGTCGTAATAATATAAAGTTTGATATTTTTGTTTTACAGGGTGCGCACAGAGAGGGAAGGTGGTGCTTGGTGTCCGAAAGAGCCGGTCACCAGGGAGCCCAAAGAATGGCTAGAAGTCAACTTGCACGCCGTAAGAGTGATCACTTCCGTGGAAACGCAGGGCAGGTTTGGCAACGGTCAAGGTCAAGAGTTCACCGAAGCATTCCTCATCGACTATTGGAGACCTAAGCTCGGCAAATGGGTCCGGTACAGGAACATCACTGGCAACGAGGTAAGCCACGAGTTTAAATAAATCTTTGGTGCCTGGGAAAAAAGTGACTCAAAAGCACAAAAAAAAACCGTTCTAAGTAATTATTCTTGTTCTATTGATCTTATCTAAAATGTCGTTCTATATTCCGCTTTACTTTGCACCCCATCTTTAAGCTAACGGATATTATTGCCCGTAAAGTGTATAATTAAAAAATATTATGCATGTGCTGTTTTTCATTGATAGCATTATAAAAGCTGATATTTATGTCTGAGACTGGTCTGTGTATTTAGCGACCGTTATTTTGCAAAATATAGCGTAAGAAACCTATAAAAACTCTCCCCTAAAACAACAATCGTCTGATTTTATATATTCATATATATATTTTACTGCGCTACAGACGTTACAGACTATACTTGTTCCCTGTTAGTCGAACAAATGTATAAAATTTATGTAACGGCGTGGCGCAGCTTTTTTTTTTTCCTTTTTTTTACTATCTATTTTGTAAACCTTGATTTCAAGTTAATGTCTTATATGTATGTACACGCTTTGAACAGTATAAAAATTGATATAAATAATATATTAAACATGGAATTCTTGCACTCTCACACTCAAAAAAAATTATTATATGAGCAAACAACAAAAAAAAAAAAATAGCAGTTCCAAGCAACAAACATTCTACCTCACCGTTGATGACCCGTTTATGTTAAATATATTTTACCGTAATGAATAACTTTAAGAAAACCCCTTGGGTAAGCGACTCTTTACCGGTATCTATACCGGTCTATAAAATATTATGGCTCAAATTTTCGCTTGTTTGTCGGTTTAGCCGAGTTTATTTACACATGTGCGTTGTTTAACCATGGAGTGATTTCTCGAGGGAAATCCATTTCAGCGGGTCTAATTCGATTATATCCGTCGCGATTAATTAACAACGTGACCCTATTACATCACATTTTCGAAAATTAAACGTCGCCCCTCATCCTTTACCCTATGTCGAGTTGTGAGCTCTCATTTCGATATGTAGGCGATACGCGACATTTTATGATTAAAATAAAACACCCAACTCTCTTTTTAATGAAATGGATATTATTCTTTCGTGAGTAACAATAATATTAGGTATATTGTTTGCGCAATATTAATCGTATAGCTGAATTCTGATGTGTTCGACGTCGCCGTTTTTCCGACGTTAAGCCTAACTGAAATTGATAGCCAAAATGAATAATAGGCGGTGGATCGACCAACAAAAAAATGACAAACATACTGTGTTCCTTTAAAATACATTGGCCTTTGGCGGTACTAAGAAATCAACAATCAAACAATTTATTATTTATCTGCAGTTTAAATATACATATATTTAACACAATACACACTGGCCACTTTGGAATTCGTCATTGACACGATACCCAATTATTTCGATTTGGACTTACATATTTTTTCGTTAAAACAATAACTAAAAGGTCCGTCGAAATGCGTCTAGTTATTGTTTTCATCTCATTTTTCGGTCTCGCATACCTTTGTAGAACGTTCAGAGCGTAGTGCCATTCAATATTGTTTCTGTTCTGTTTCATTTCACTGCGAACGGAATTTTATACGATTCTCGATTGTATTGCTTTTACAAAATATTCATTCAGATTAACGAGAAATTCCTTTTATAAATATTATTTTCTTTAGCTCGACAAATCTGGTGTCGCGCTAAAATAATGTTTTGCTTGTATTTTTAATATAATAATATCATATTATTAAAATGTATTTAAGGTCAAAAACTGGAAAGGTCAATGACTTTGTCCGTTTTTTTTTTAACAAAGCTCACCATTGGTTGTTGTCCAGGATCAATATCGAATTTAAGTAATGCGTATGGCACACAACTTTAAACGTTGCAATTGAGCTTACAATTTACTTCGTTGGTGGCAAGTTAAGGAGTTCAACAGAATCATTATAATGTTGTAGGTACGTTTACAATAGTGATTGTTTGGCAAGTGCTTGTGATTTAAGACTGATTGAGTAGACCATTTTTTTTCCTTCGCCCACCGTAGGTATACCGACTATACATCCGATATGTTCCTCTTAAACCGTCATCGTTCAACACGACAAAGGCGAACAACAGTTCATATTATATAGATTAATGGTGCAACATTATAAAGTATATTATTTGTGAATCTGTCGCGCCAAAGGTGACACCGGCGGTATTATCACACGACAATGGCGAACACAGACAATTGTGATTGCAAAATAATAAAATATTTTCTCTAAGCTTTTGTGATCAAACAATATATTATAATGTAGGTAATATATATTTATACTGATGCTTAATAGAATCTACTGAGATCGTGATCCACACATATACGTCATACTGAGCTTATACTTATCTATTTTTCATGTACAATAGATACTATATTTGTGTACACGCGGGATAACAGAACGTATGTATATTGTATAGTATATATTAAAATTACAGTCTTTGGAAACCAAGGGTCCAGATAAATTTAATTCAAATAAATCATAAATTATTTGTCTATCATTTAACACAGTAAATCTACAATTGGTACCATGTAAAACCGACAACAAATTTGATGAATCCAATGATTAAATTAACAATGTTTTATTTCAAAATAAATATATTGTTGGACACATATTAATAAAGATTTATTTAAAAAAACAGATATATATATATATTTTTTTTTACTTTTGGATTTATTTACTGGTTTAGCAGGTTTACAACTAATACAAGTATATAAATATATTATTTTATTTAAAAAAAAAAAGTCCTAATATTACATTATTTTTACAGGCAGCCCTAACCACCGCAAAAAGTGTATTGTTGAACATCAATTCCATCGACCCTTATTGTATCGAATAATCTGATATTGAATTTTATCGCGAAATGCTTAATTAATATTTAAAATGAAAAAACTAAAATAATTAAATATTTCACTTTGTACAAATCGTTTTTATTATTAGCAGTCGGCTATTTAATTAATTTTACTTAAAGTATAAACTTTTCGTTGAAACTCCAGTTGTTATAGTTGTTATTAGTATTTTCTTACAGTGTTTGTACTCACGTTAATCATGGTTGTCCACTTGAAACTTTTGTGTAATTTATGATTATTATTTTTTCTTTTGTATTTCGACTTTTCAAACATGTACAAACTATTATTTGTACGTTGCCAGAAAAATATAAAAAAATAAACATATCGTGTATACATATCGAATGGTCCACTGAAACCATTTAAACATCGAGCATACAAGGCATAACATATTTAAATTGCATGTGTTGGTTTTAATAAGAGGTAAAAAGATTTAACTTCCAGTATCTAAATTTAATAAAAAAATATAAATATACTATCGAAATCATTCTTGCGCTTAGCCTAAAATGTTAATATTGTCGTTAAACCCAAAATGTATGTATTTTTGTGTATAATAAATATTTTGGGTTACTTACCGTGTCATTAATATCACCGTCTGTAATAATTATTCTAGACGAATCCCTCCGAATCGCTCAATTACCCAAGAGGGTGCAGAGTACATTGATTAAGACAACCTTTTTTAAACCCATTAAGTCGTTACACTATAATATATAAAATACCATATTATTATACAACAAAGCGTTACGATAAGCGTTATTCCTTTTGCACCGCTGTTGCCTTTTTAGGGAACTTTCCAGACCAAGTTTCTTGTAAGTCAAGGTAAAAAACAATTATCTGTGGTGCCATAAGTAGTAGGTACTAATTATACTTAACCAGTACGCGCGTCACCCGTATCTGTGCTAGTAGCGTTTAAGAGAAAAATTACTTGTGTTCGCCATAACTGCGACCGTTTATCCGAAAGTAATTACCGATTGATATCTCACACCAAAGATAGAAAACCTATAAAATATCCTAAAAGGACTCTGGTATATCTAATTATTATAATAGAGTTCTGACGGCTGGGTCACCGCCAATCTGTTAAATCCCACTTGTTCCGACATTAACAACCAATTATATTGTATATTATATATTATACCTATTATAATATATTTTAGAAACAGCACACCGACCAGCGATGGTCGTGAGGATAAGAATAATCATTTCTTTTTTAAATATAAATTATGTACACCTTAGCGATTAGGAAAACAGTACACGCGGCAATGCACTGCCAGTCACTGTTAACAATATATATTTTTCGTTCGACCATTTGTGTTTAAATGCAACAGGAGAGATCGATTCAATAAAGTAGTAGTATTAGTAGTAGAAACGCAGTTTGTTTTGCCCTATGGGGTCATCCAATTACATATATAATATATATGTAGGATATGTTTGATTTTGTTGTTACCAATTAAAAAGAGACGTGTTCCCCACAGCTTTTCAAATCCACACATTGATTTTTTATTTCTCTCTAAGAGCCCACGCCCTTCTGATTTTAACAGAAAACGATTTTGTCGTTATTAATATGTATACATTTTAGGAATGTGTTTGTCTAATGTCTACAGCAGCTGTGAGTATACAATAAATCTAGTAAACCGATAAATATTTATTGATTCACGGGTTTTCGATTTGATTTAAACACTATAAATAAAACGATAGCATAAAAAACACATTCGTACAGTCGCTGTACAATTAGCCCGGGGACACAAGTATAACGTAGGCAAATACAAGAACATTCTAATATAATTATAATAAAATAAATTGATAAAATATTTAAATTTGGCGTTCTATATCTTCTGACTCGTACGGTAAAAAACCACATGACGTTTCGTTTGAACGTAGTGAAATTCGTTTTAATGAAAGGCGAAATTAAAATCGTGTCAAACATGAAATAATGGATGTGCTGGACATATCCGGCCCAATCGCTCAGCTGCTATTGGCGGAAGCTTTAAAATATGATCTAAACGCCCTGATGGCTATTATACCTATTGGCTATTTTCCATCGCCTCGCCTTGGCCGCAGTACCCCGCAACACGGCGAATTATATGCATATATAGGACTTCGATATAATGACGTGAAATGTAATCTTATTTATTTAGACAACGTGGCGGACGCCTGCGGGCTTACCAGGAAAACACTATCGATTGATAACGTTTTTGCGTGTATATATGTAAATAAAGTGAAAAGTTTGCCGGTAAAACTAATCGAATGCAAAGTGCCGAGGTTGTATGTGTATCGGTGAAAATGATTCATTAAGCGCACAACTTTGCGTTGGATTAGCCCATTAAAAGTTTTTGGACGCGTCTTCGGCGCTTATTAAATTACCTTGGGAGTTCGACGCCCCGTCAGTCCCAGCGGGAGTCGCACACACGTCCATATACATAATATTATACACACTTTATATTGTTTGTTTTCGGCGACTTTCGTCGTTCCAATTAAAAACCATCCACGTGCATTGCTGCATACATACACTGCGCTGTAATGCCGCTGTCACCCAGCCCAGACGAGCATCACCGTGAGAACGTCACGATCTGAGCTCGCAGATAATAATAATATTACAGTATAATATATAATAAAGATATTATATATGCTCGCCATGTCGATTCCGGTATAAGACACTGAACTCCGACGCCGCGCCGCCACGTCAGCTATATTATAGGCACTACGGTTATGTATGATTTTCCTTTGTAATGGTAATTTGCCAAAATATAAAATACCGATGAATGCCATGAATATTTATAGGGGGGGGGGAAGCAGTTTCTTTTGTTTTCACGAAACCTCCCGGCCGGGATCGTCTCCTCGATAGCGCCCATTATTATAGATTTAAGTGCCAAGTCAACACCTATCGTGTAGACCTATTAAGAATTGACTGCGGTCTCCTCTCTTTAACCCATCAAACTGCAAAATAACGCGTACAACCGTCTTTTGTCCGTTATTACTATCGAAGACGCCATTTTAAGAATTAATAGTTAATGGATGAAAAATAAACAGAAGTTTCTATTAGCTATTGATCAACAATAAAACAACGATGGTAGCGAATGCAATATTTATTATTTTACCAGGTATTTGGTTACTGCGTACGTGACATCCCTAAGCCAATAGAAATCATTTCTGCACAGGAGTCCTTAAAGACATCACTATGATTACGGTGTTATTAGGGTGAATACTTTGACTTGAAAAACAATACTATTTAATAGTTACAGATAAGTGTCTATCAATTATTATAGACAACAATATATCGTAGAGGTTAGGTAGTTCGTCTGTGCTATACGTAAAGTTCAGCTAAACATACGTGATTAAGTTCGTGGTAATTTCATCGCCAGTTCCAAGACCTTTGTGATGCTAAAATGTATCCTTGTACTGAGTTGCTTTTTGTAGTGTCCAAAATTCTGATTGAACGCTGCTCGAGACGTCAGTGTCCATATTTCTATGTATGTGTCATACATATAACTTGCAGGGTCGGTTGTTATACTTGTATATAAAACGTGACGAAGAGGAGAGGAGGCTTTTAAATCATGCAAGAGCAACATCTGGTGACACGGAAGCACTCGCCGTCGAGCTCGGCTAATTTTATCGTGTTTTATTGCCTGTCCGCCACCGTCGCCACTACTGACGGAAAGGATCCACCGCCTCCCGGATCCTGTCCGGGAAATAATTTATAAAGCCCAGAGTATAATTATTATTATTGTCATTATTTTACGGGTTGCTCGGCGTACACTTTGGGCGAGCTTTTCGTAGCAAGCTATAACAATATTGTGTACAGTGCGCGATAATAAATTACTGTAGCAAAATACAAAACTGTAACAGATGTACTCGTTTAATAAACAATTCGTCCTGATACAAATAAATAATATTCGAGAATGCGACCGAAGTCGTCCACAGCATATATAATGTGTTCTTTTCGAACAGCGTTGACTTGACATCACTGATGAGTATCCACAATTCCACAACCAAAAGTTTTTCTTGTAATATCTCCCAAATTAGGACCGTCTGACCTACGACTGCGTCAGGGGCTAGAGGTAATGCCAAAGCAAAAATACAGTCTAGTTGCGACCTGCGCCACAGGATATAATCGGTGTTTACTGACCTGCCTAGGCCAAGCCGACGCCGATTCAGTAACGTATTCACTGCTCTAAGTACACGTTCGTTTATTGTATTAAAAAAAAAAAAATAGGTCAATCCCGGATCTTTCTTGTTGATTCCAACCTAGAATAGTACGTAATATTATAAGAGCCGGTGGCGCCCACTCTGTCGGTCGAGTACGGTGCCCGTGAGTGGGCATTGTCTCGCCTAGTCATATTATTATTATGTGTTTGTCGTTCCAGAATAAACACAGCATTCTCATCTATTTTTCCATATTACAATTAACTTGTCACGACCTTGTGTGCAACGAGACTTGGCAACCAAAAGAAATGAACGTTACTCGAACATTTTTTATCGACTCCATTTTTATGGCTTTTCAAGACTATTTAAGATTTTTTTTTTCGATAATGTCGTTTAATGTTTAATACTTGCGTAAAAATTGACAAATTCAATTGGTTTCTTGAAAACACTGTAGTCGATTAATGTTGCTTTCGTTCTGATTTGTTTTTTCTTTATTGCTTTTTTTCTCATTAAAAACAAATTGCGTTGGGCTCTTTGCACGAATTAGGTTGAGGATTGCTCAGTAACGCGTTTGTATTGGTTCTAATACTTTTTATTATTCCACCACACACTACAACTATAACTACAGCAATCAGCATCGATTATGTTTAGACAAGCAATAATAATTACATTATTATTATGTTTTTTCCTTTATATAAAAACTCAGACACGGAGCTCGTATATTCGATTTCTCTAAATGGTAGTATCTTTTATAGAAAAGTAAATCGTCTTTTTTTTTTTTTATATTTTGGATGATTTACGGTAGTACTTTCTAAGTTATCTCGGGGTGTCTGTGTATATTGTTTGAATTTGTTCGTTATCCGGATTTACTACTCAGGGGACTCTGACTCGCAATTGGTGCGTTCCTGAAGGGTTTTCGAACGATGTTGTTTTTTAAGAATTTTTTACTTGGAACAAATACGAGTTATTTCATATAATATAGGCACATTATGCACTATGTTTATTAGTAAATTTTATACCTCCACGATAAACGGCTTTTGTCATACGTTTATTTTTTGTTTTTTTAATTCTAGATACTGATTGGAAACATCAACACGTACTTGGAGCACAAACAAGAACTGAATCCGCCGATCTGGGCGTCGAAAATCAGATTCCTGCCGTACAGCTTCCACACCCGACAGGTGTGCATGCGAGTCGAACTCTACGGGTGCCCTTGGACAGGTTGGTCAAGCGTCCGATATCCGGCAATCAAGTCAATTAGAGTAACTTGAAAAAATATATAATAATAAAAAAAATGATGATTTGCGCAGACGGTGTTCTTAGCTATTCGATGCCTCAAGGAGATAAACGCAGCCCGGAATGGGAGTTCTACGACTCCACGTACGACGGTTACTGGAACGACGAATTGCAAAGAGGTCTGGGCCAATTGACCGACGGAAGAGTAGGACCGGATAACTTTAGAATGGGATACTATGACATTGAAAAAGGTACACTTAATTCCATACAAATATTACATTGGACATTAAGCATTATTTTTTGTACTAACTCAACGACTATAATAGCGTCGTTAATATTATAATACTTTAGTCCAAATGACGGTATACAAATGTTATTTAAAATATTATTATTATTCAATAGATACAAATTGACACTAAACAACCCCAGTAGCTATAGATGTTTAATATTGTATATTAGTTTATTGTTTATTAGCTCCCCCGTATAATTTGTTTTTAAAGTATATCAATCAAACCCCCGATGTTTATATATTATACAGGTATATACAAGAATCAAAACAAAAACAACTTTCGAAAGCTAAAATTCTCTAATGTGCTATAAAGACACATATTTCATCTACAATATTGCCTAAAAATGTTCCTATTTTAAAACATTTTTTTTTTATATTACAATAGCACGATAACGATCACGTGAAATAAAAATGTTCTAACGAGATCTAGCCGATCAATAATAAAAAACAACAATGGCAGTTAGTGTAAAATGTATAGCGGATAATTATAAATTTCATATGTGACACATTACACTCGGTTCAATGTATTATTATTTTGATAAATCAAGTGGTTGTCGTTTCACCAAGTTTTATCGCGGCAAATATATATTCATGGGTTAAGTTTCCGAAGTCGGTGTAAACATTCTATAAACTACAATCGTTATATTTTCAGAGCGTTTCTAGTTTTTCATGAATAATTCAATAAAAGCTTCTTTTTCCTCTCTCTCTTGTTGTGAAGGGATAAAAGGAGACTACTTACCGCCGTATTCGTGATCGAAATAGCTTTTTTCCCTTTTTTTTTTTTGTTGCTTCTCTCAACAATGTCTCCGTCCACCGTAGCTAATGGACCGCGGTAAACGGTCACTTTATTTTCAAATTACTATAGAAGAGTAAAAAAAAAATGTATTTTCTTTTAACTACATAATATAATATAATATTATATATTAAAATATTCCACCTATTCCTGTTAGGTTGTGTAGTATATCATAATAATAATAATATTATTATGAAACGGGAACGCATTTTTGCAATTCGTGTAACGTTATGCTGTATAATAAATTGTAACTAAAGAAAGATAAAGAAAAAAATGTTTTTATATAATTTTTAACAATAACATATTAGTTTGGTTGACACATACTGTCTGCATTTGTTGAATTAATTATAATAATATGTGTACATAATTATAGGCCAAGGATGGGTCGGTTGGAGGAACGACACCAGAAATGGACAACCTATCGAAATCAAATTCGAATTCGACAAGATCCGAGAGTTTACCGGAGTACACATTTACTGTAACAATCAATTTCAAAAGGACGTGCAGGTAAAATAAACTTCTTCTTTCCTTGTTTAACACTTATCACTTCTTTAACCTCTTGGCTCTTACTGATATTATATTATCACATGAATACATTTTTCTACTTCACGAATCCACAATAATCTATCCTGTTCACTATGTTACGTAATTAGTCTGCAACACACATTTCGCATCATACCTACAACTATAACTTCTATCTTCATAACACGCCTTGTCCTCTATCCTGAAACCTTTCTCGGCCGTACTAGGGTACTTATAGGCTAGAACTTTTCCAAAATTTTACTTTGGAGGTAAACTAAAAATATATAACAATAAAACCTATTGGTATTAATGATAATACAGGGAATACATGAGTTAACGTTTTCACGGCACACTTAATGAAATAAAAGTCGAAGGGCTGTTTTTTAACAGTTCCCGACCGACCCGGCAGTCAACTGACATTTAATCGAATCCATTATAATAAAATATACATTTAATATCATTATACAACGACTTTAAAGTTTAAGGACGCGACGGTCTGCCACCGCGGTAACTGTTCAACACAATTATTGGGTGCGTTGTCTAACCCCAAATTGGAAAATGATTCGAAAATGCGATTATAAACGCCGAGTCATGCCGTAGGGCAACGGCTGGAGAGCAATGCGAAATCTAAAGACGAATGCAAATTGCGTCTTGAAATTATTAATGACAACAAAATAATAAATGAAGTCTCTGAAATCAGATTAAACGTACACATTTTCGTGGTAGCGAGCGGTGGTCCAACTTAATAACTTTGGGCATTTGATAAGATTTACACGATATTGGAAAACAAAAATTGTATTATGGTTTTTGCTCCGACCGGGTAACGTTAAAAATCTACTAGGGTAAGGTCTGGGGAAGAAGGGAGAGAATAGGCTTGTATGAGGACTTAAGACATACGAGGTGGGCGGTGTACACATAGGTCGGTCGTGAACGTTGTTGTAGGTATATATTGAGTTGTTTTACAAGGGGGATTTTAACGATAATTAATGGATAACAATCTGCTCTAGTACGGGCCACGTCCTGCACGTGTTATGTCCAAACCATTGTTTTCCTATGATAATATAACACACGTGATGACCCCTTGCGCGCGTTGACCTCTTCAAAACTAATTAAGCCGAACTTATAATATTTGAATTTGGATATGTAAATAAAAAAAAAAATACTTTACATTTTTAACACTTGCCGCGCATCACTAGCTGTTATTGATAATTACATTTCCTATTTTGGATGACGTAACTATACGTTCAATTGTTAGCTGTTGCACTTGGACGGAAGTTAATTTTTAAGTCGTGACCGCAGGCGATTAAACTATATATAATCATAATTATTAATATCGATCGCTGATCGTTATTATTGTACTATACCTACTATATCCCGTCATCCGCAGCGTTTTCCGGATGACCGTTGCAATAATCTATTTGATTATAGTCCTGTTTGCTAAATACTCACATGTGTCACACCGGTGTAATATATTACTTTAGAAGACAACGTTCCGAGTATATATAATATATGTATATGTCTTGGACGACTCGTTGCCAATTATGTGAGTTCAGCGAATCGTGTACACGTCCCGTGTAAACTAGTCTTAATCACATCCTTGTCGCTGCTTATCGGCCACAGTAAAACGAGTAGCGAAAGTTAGTTTGGTTTTTTCACTTCTAATTGCGTTATTCATTTCTCATTACAGTTTAGGGCAAAACTTTACTGGGCTCAGGGCCAAAGTAAACGAGTCGCCCAAACAGAGTACACGGTTGTCGCATGTCTTTGGCGCCGAGCAAATTTCTTGGGAAAACTAATTTCTTAAAACTTTGTCGGCGCGTATATTGGCTTTTTTCATATAATAAACAATTCCGTCAAAAGCGGTCGCTGACGTCTGTTAATGTCCCAAAGTGCTTTTTAAACTTTGACAGCAACGCCCGAGAGAACAACTTCTCATAATGTTCTTCTCAACATGCGACGATTTTCATCAAACAAATTCTCATTAACTTATTCGATTTGGCGGTTGCGTTTCTAACGCTACCACCTTAGCCTCGGGCATGTTTTTCTTGTACCTGAGTTTTGCATAATATTCTGTGCGAATCGATTGAAAAAACAAATTTTTCGTCAAGAAATATATTTTGCCAATGACATTTTTTTCTATCTGTGTCTGTTTTTCAACCATTTTTTAAAAATATAACTATGAAAAACAATGAATATTGCTACTAAACATACCTAATGTTCATAAAATAATACATTAAAAATGTAATTTGCATTTTGTTGTTCTGTAAAATGTTGATAAACGTTACTTACACTCTTTTGGTTCCCACCACTTTTATTAAGTGTTATAACACATATTTTTGACAGGTTCCGATCGAGAATATTGACCGTGTTATGGTGTTTTTCGCTCATCCACCCCCCTTAATCGCTAATCAGTTTTTTTTTATTGAACACTGTATTGAAACCGGATACGCTTCCACACGGTAAAGGTGCGTTTCGGATTTTGCTTATTAATAAAAATCGGCTTATTTGGTCGACTCGGAATGAACCGTAGATGTGGGGTAGGGGGAGAAGAGGTTAAGCGATTTGTAAAACGCTTAACGATACAGTATAATGTGTTTTAAATATATATAGCACGGGATGAGCGGGACAACATGGAATTCCGAATCTGACCGAATGATTTACGAATGATCTTAACAGCGAACGCTACTAAATCTTCACCGATGTGTTGACACTGCGTCCACCGCCGCCGGTAATGAAGATTCATGTAACACATTAACGTTAAGACCGTCGTCCTACAAAGATATTATTATTATATGTGTATACATTATACACAAGAATAAAACTTACCGGCGGTCGGACTATTAGCGCGAGGATAGAACGGAACACGCAGTATATCACCGGCGTGCTCGAGCTTTCTGTATAACTGCACTGTGTATACAGCTAGGATTATTATAATAATAGTCTTATATATTTATGTGTATGCCTATACCGTATATTTATTGTGAAATCTCTCCGTCTTGTCTACCCACTACACACGACACCAGCATCGTTATTGATTGACATGGTGAAAACGAAGCGAACGTATTTTTTTTCCTAGAGAAAAGTGTAGGTGTGTGTATGAAATGGAAAAACCCTTGTATTCCCTTAAGACGACTTATACGCGTTCCCTAGGCGGCGTAAAAAATATTGTTTCTGACTTGATGGAAATTGTCTGTGTTATGTGGCAAACGAGCTACACGCCCATTCCTATTTCCTTCGATAGCGTCTTCTTCGACTGCGTAGTGTTATTATTATTTCTAACGGAAAACTTTTGAATTGCACACAGGTATTCTCCGAGGCGAGTGTTATGTTCAGCGTGGGCGGCAAAATCTACTCTTCGGAACCGTTGACTTACACGTACATGGAAGACCGGATATTCGAGACGTCCAGAAACGTCAGCATCAAGTTGCACAGGAGAGTCGGTCGGTTTGTCAAGCTCAAATTGTCTTTCGCCGCCAAATGGATAATGATCAGCGAAATCACATTCGACTCCGGTAAGTAACCTAACTACTATTTAGTCTGGTCTATTCGGATTTCGGGTTCAGGGTCAAAGTTTTAGTATTTTTAACTCTTTTACTGATGTTAAGCTGTATTAGGATTGTTGTTCTATATACCGCACGTGCCGGTCGCCTTGAAAGCGCATGTATGTAGGCTGGCTATAATTATTGATGCGGTGCGTGACTTTTTAATCCTAAGCATTTTTTTCGTGCTCGAGAACTAGCGGTTTTTATTCAAATAATAATACAAGCATGTATTTTCTATGTCAGAGGACCTTGTTGCATTACGAGTGACGTTGAAAATAACTCGAGTGCGTTAATCGAGAGAGCGCATCCGACTGAAAACATGCTTATTTATACCTGCGCGAGCATACATAGTAGTTTCACTGTTACTCCCCCTATGCATTCCGAATAGTAATGGCAAAGGCTAAACAATTTCTACTACGCGGATTGGCGCACTTCAACGAGACACGGCTATAAAATATATTAGTACAACGGGCAAAGGCAATAAAAAACGTCCTCGAGCTCCCAAACATAATATAATATGCTTAATATGAAATCTCCGATTGACAGACCTTACTAGTATTCTTTCTATGGTCTTTCCTCACCTCAACCCCCCCCCCCTCTGGTGTTCTTTGTCAGTATAGAAAAAGTATATTATACAAACGAGGGACTGCAGTAGTAAAACAAAGTTTACGTTCGCTACCGTTACGCTCATCGATGAAATATCATCGTAATTATAATGAATACAAAAAAATATAAGCAAATCGGATCAATGAGTGGTACAAAAGAGGGAGAGATACTTAAATAAGTAGTAGCGGTGGGGAGGGGGGAATTTCAATCGCGTTAAATTTAGTACATAAATAATGATTCGCCGACAGACGGACAGGTGCGCCCAGCGACGAGTTCTCGAAGAAATTAAAAAAATGTAGGTATGCTTCGTTTATAACCGAGAAATACGACATCCCTTCGCCGTCCCAAGGGGAACAATGAGTAGTCAGTAGGGTAAAAAATGGAAAAAGTAACATAAATCTCGAGAGGGTTCCGTATATTTATTTTCATTTTTTCCATCTACTTTTGTTTTTTTCTCCCTCCCCTCCTTTAATATGTATACATATAGGTATATATTATATTTATGCAGATATATACATGTTTTTTTTATTATTACCCCGCGCAAGAAGATTTATAGTTTACCTGAGCGTTTTCGGTAGGCTAAAGTGGTAATGGGAAAATCGCTGAGCCCCGACAGTATGTTTTGTGTGTATAACAATATATGAGCACCGTCGGCGGCGAATGGAAAAAATTGTATGGTACAACTGGAGGTTTATTTAATATTTATCTATTTATAGTTTATACATGTACAAATATACCCGTATGCCAAAAATGCCTATACGTCAGCAATGTACAAATAGGATTGTGCAAATAATAGATCATATAACCAGTATAAAAAAAAACAACATAATATGTATACTATTATAGTGTATTGATATTTTAATTCTAAAACACAAATTGACGTTCCGGGTCTTCCCCCCAAATAATAAATGCTTTTACCTTTTTTTTTTATAAACATTTCTCATGTGATATCTTCAAAATGTAAGTGCTATTGCGCCGCCTTTGGTCAGAGTTAAGGTTTTTCGAATTATCCGTGTCAAGTGTAAACAGTATCAAGATTGAGAACCTCGGGCGTTTCAATTATTAAAGCAAAGCCCAAAGGTCTTACTTAAACGGTGTTGGCATCTTCATTTGGACACCCTCGGCCGAGACAGATGTGTGTAATGGCAGGGGAGCGGCTTAAACGGTCCGCGGAAACAACCTTTTTAATATCGACCCTACTAGCAGTTTTATTCTTTCCCCTTGCGTTTGGTTTCCTTCGGTGGTCCTCCGGCGGTACATCGTAGAGCATTTTAAAGGAATCCGGTCCCGTTTGCTTGTGATACTGTGCAGGTTAGGGTAGATTTACGAGTCAAGTTTTTCATAAAGATGTTACCACAATACACTTTGATACCGCGTATCGTGCATTAGCTGTACTTGGGTTCCGCGTTTATCTCACAAGATTAATATTACGCAATAACGTTACCGCCAAAAAAGAAAAATCTATCGTTTACATAGTTTTTAGCCACCCAAATTGCTAACAAGTCTGTTAGTAATAGCTAAGTATCTCTAATTAAATCGAATAATTACCATGGTATGTAACCTAAAACACTGATCACCATTTCTTGTTATTCGAAAATATCTAATTTTATACTAAAAAATAAACCTGAGGCATAAAAAAAATGTTTTTGTTTCCACCGATTATTTCCACTCAAAACACAGACGGGTTTGATGTATTCAATGATTTCTTTCCACATAATTGCCATGCTATTAATATTGTGCTTGTATTTTGCAAAGGTATAAAAATAAAGAAGCCAAGTAGGATTTTTAAAACGTCTGAGTCGAGTATTTTTTAATTAAGAACTTTTTTATTTTTTAATATAAGTTGCCTGTCCACCCAGTATAATGACAATGAAAATGGCTAGACCCTTAATTGCCGCGGTTTTCGAGGTGCTTTTGAACAATGGGTCTGCGTAATTGCTTCTGTGCCCTCCTACACTACCCTTCATCCCTATATACACGCTCAGTCGACCCTGATGGAAATTCGTCGCTTTTTAACTCTGAAAGACATTCGTTATGCCGTCACGTTTAAACACGACCGCTTTTGCGCACCCTTTTCCGGATGTAAATTGATTGCCAAGCACAACGCGCTATTCTAATTTCTCGGACCCGAGCAAACTTACAGGATATCCTCCGAAATCCGAATTGTGACCATACCTGTCACTGAAAGGGGGGAGGATACGAAAATAAAAACATAAATTATTTATAAAGGCATTGGGTTTAGAAATTAGATATACTTTTGTGATAAAATACCAAGAGGTTAGTATTGAACCAATTGTCGTTTGTTTGTATAGACGTTGCACAAGGAAATTTCACCGAAGAATTGGCTACACAATCGGAGTTGGCTACTCAAAAACCGGGCGTTATGTCCAAAGATTTAAGTTCTCACCGACCCGAACTCACATGTAAGTTTTACTTGTTATGACTAAGCCGATGTTTGTTCGTCGCAAAATTAATATTGTAATTTTTTTATTTCAGTTCCTACTGCTAAAGACGAAGATCAGACTTACATGGCGGTCATAATAGGCGTACTGATGGCTGTCATTATATTGCTGGCCGTGGCCATTTTCCTTATCGTGTCCAGACACAGACAGAGGAAGTGCTTCGCCAGCCCGTTGGTGGGCAAAAGCGCGTTGGCTTCCGGTAACGGATGTCCGGGCATGTCTTCTGGAAGCAGTTGCGGAACAGGTGGCAGTTACAAAGAGGCTGGCACCGGCAGTTCGTTAAGCCATCACGGCATAAGTCAGCCTGCGAATTCGGTCAACGGCCATTTGCACGACATGGACAGATTGATCCAACTTGACACTGAACCCTATCAAGAACCCTACCACGGACATACTCCTTTCTACAGTTACAGTACCGTAGTGGTCGGTCGCAACAATATGGACTCCAACAGTAAGTACACTGTTAAAATTTTTTAAAAATTGGTTGAGAGGGCCTTTGATAGTAATTTTGCTTGTGGATACTAATGAGATGGAACTTTTTCGCTCTCTTGAAAATAGCAACTGGATTGAGACTCGAAAAAATCCTCTTTAATTTAATAATTTAAATACACAGATAAGCAATGCTATACACATAAAATGCGACCGATTTTGTACATTACACCGCTTATCTGTATATTCTAAAATCAATGGTTTAATTAATAATCACAAAATAATAGTTATAATTATTAATGTAATGTATAATTATTATACATTATCATTGTAAACAATTTTGGTGGGTAGTAATAGTAAGTGACCTTTATTGGGCAAAACATAAACAAACGTTTTGTAATTAAAACTCGCGTTAAAAGTTTGGGCCTTTTGAAAAGTTTTACTCGCGACGTTTCTCGCAGTAACGGTTATCTGGAAAATTGTTTTCCCTTAAACTTTATACTCGATTCTTGTTTTCTAAAAGCACAATCTTCGCTGTCTCTCCGTTAACTAAAACGTCCTTAATATATATTATTGTACCTGCTGTTTTTTTTTTTATTGTTGCTGTGCTTATAATAATTAACAATACATTTGCTTTTTAGATTCAACCTATGAGTACGCCGTGCCCGAGACTGGAACAATGCCATTACTCACGAACGCACTTCCACCGCCCCCTCCGCCGTCGGCTCCTCCAGTGGCTCCTGTCACGACCGACACGTTTGCTAGGAACAGAATGTATCCCACGGACGAGAGCAGAAGTAGCAAAAAAGTACGTTTTTCCAGACATGTGTTATTCTAAGAGTTTAGGTACTCCGGACCAAATGTAAATCCACAAGTGTTTTTGACTCGGAAATCTTAACGGTGCTATGTCGTCTCACCAACGTCCACTTAAAAACGAAACACAATAAACACACTAGGCCAAAATAAATAATGTACACGAAAAAAACTTTACAACTTGGGTCAACAACAATAGGCACTATACTAGGTACTACATTCACATACAACTCGTTCAGCACAAACTATTTTTTTTTTTTTTACATATTGTCACATGATATTTAATTTTTTTTACTAACGTATTTTTTAAGCATAAATTGTGTACATTGCTGGCCAGCAATTATTTAACACTTAATAAAACTAAAAAAAAACATTAATTATAATGGTCACTTTTTAGAAAAAAATGGACTATCTAATAAGCTGATAAAATTGAACAAACCTATTAATAAAAATAAAATAATTACTTTAATTATTTAAATTTTAATACAATTGAGTATCACTGCACTTGACATACTATATAAAATAATTTTTAATGATGACCGTTTTAGTTTAAATTTATAAATTCTACTATTTTTCAAAGTTTGATTGCTCTAATGTGGCTTTTTTAGTTAAATATAATATTTTACTGATCTAAAAAAAAAATAATTGAAAAAAAAATGTTAACATAATTGTATTTTTTTCACCTTATATTGGTGTGGTTTATACGAAAATACTTTTTTTACCAATTAAGTTTCCGGAATTAATCAACGGGAAGATATAATTTCAATTAAACTCGGATAAGTTAGTCGCGGTAAAAGTTTCTTTTCAATATTAATATGATCTTTTTTAAATATTCGAAGAAAAAAAATGAAAAAACCCCTAGCCAAATTTCAATAATGAAAATGTATATTATACAAAAGAAATCCTTCTGCTTGAAACCAAAAAAAAAAGTAAACTGTAACACGAGGGAAAGAAGTCTTCAAATGGGGTTTCGGTGTGTTCCAAGTATAATTAAATATTTCTTTAGTGAATAATAAATAAAAAAAACCGAGAGGGAAAGGGAGGCGAAATAAGTCGTTTTTTCAGAATTTTTCTTCTTTCTTCGCATGTTAAACAGCGGTGTTCCGATTCCCCCTCGAGCGGTCATAATATAGTTTTGCCAAAACAGGTGATATATATTTCCCGGATTTCCCCTTCTTTGTGTTGTGTCCGGATGAAAAGATCATTACCAGACATAAGTTATTATAATAATAGTCCATGAATAATGGCCCAAACACGACACGCTTGCCCTATTCAAGCCTGTATTCAATGGTCTGTACTGCACGCGCTTATGTCGAACCGGTTGATTCACAAAATATGTAACTCATATTGTCGCAAATACTATGAACACCATTATGGCGCAACAGATGCTGTTGATTGATATAAAGTAGGTACACGTCAAGTTCGTAGTACGCCATTTTCGAGAGCCTACATGTATTTGAGTACACATCGGCGATCCATCGCCGTTTTAGATTACATCATTAGGTATAGCGTTTTACTTCTCATTTTTTTTTCTGTCACGAGACAGCATGGTCCCGGACAATAGTAAAACCGTCAACTTTAAATTCTTTTTAAAAAAAAAACTCCTTATATGTATAAATGTGTGATGAAAACACATTATTTATAACATGCGGTCTCGTGTAGCAGCTCACATTTTGACATTTTCGGTTAGGTTCATGCTCGGAGCGACGTCACCGCGCTGCCGACCCAATAACATTTAACATTTAACGCACACCTGGTTTTTTTTTTTTAATTTATTTTTTACCTTATAGTCTTTGCAGAAACAAGAATCTCAAACGGCGCTGAAACGACGACTCGAACAAACGCCAGTACCCGAATTCCCACGGCATCGTCTGCGTATGCTATCGAAGCTCAGCGAGGGCAATTACGGAGCGGTAAGTCGTCCAAAATTAGTAAACCAGAACGCCAGAGATATTTTGTATTCGAAATTCGCCGAAATTAAAAACGTGAATTATTAACCGTTAGCAAATAAATCTAAAAAATCAAATAGTTAAATGTTCACCGTGTTGAATCATCAATGATAAATTAAGAAGTAATGTAGAAATATTATAGATTTAAACGTGATTAAAAGACAAATTTAGAAGAGCCAAATATATAGGCAATATTACGCCTCTTTTTTCGGTTTTAAAATATCACGTCAACTATTTTTTTTCGTTTATGGTTTTAGTATGCGGTTAACTGTGCTGAAAAGCCTTACTAATTTTTGACTACTAAAGACGATCTGATTTCAATCTTATTAAAAGAGAACCGTCCGTTGGCCTCTTTTACTAATTTTTTTTTTTGGAAACCTATTTGAAAAATCTCGTTCTTATCTTTGTAGAATCAACTCTTAGTTGTATTTAGGTTATTTTCCGTCGTAAGTACAATTGTTTAATAACCTATTTTATGTATTAGATTTACGTTGCCGAAGCCGATGACATCCATGAATACCATTCCAATACTACGTCTGACAAACGGTTGGTGGCCGTCAAGTTTTTCTCGCCGACTTTAACCGAAAAAGAAAAGTGAGTTCGCATAACCAGCTGTGGACCCATCGTTATTCTTCTCTTCCTATCTTTATCCGACCAAAAATCCTTTAATCGAGAGTGCTATATATTTACTCCGTGACTTTATTCTTGGACTATTTCATTGTCCTCTCTTCTTTCAATACATCCAAACCGTCTATCGAATCCATTCGTGTATAAAATACATCGATAAATTAATATTGCATTGCCAACGTGCGCGTTTCAGAGCTGGATTGCAAAACGACGTGAGAATTTTGGCCGGTCTTGAAGACCAAAATATCGCAAGAGTTTTGGGAGTCTGCTCCATCGAACAACCTTTGTGTGTGATCATGGAGTACTGCGAGCACGGTGATCTCAACCAGTTCCTTAAAATGCACGTTCCCGCGGATGCTGCCCGGAATCTGCCGTCCGGCGTCAAGACCCTAAGGTATGTGTACAGTGTCCGCATTGTTGTTGTCAATTAACCATAATATTGTTTTTTTTATTTTAACCGTTGTAGCCTGCAATGTCTGCTATACCTAGCCACCCAGATAGCCTCGGGCATGCGTTACCTGGAGTCTTTGAATTTCGTTCACCGCGACTTGGCCGCCAGGAACTGTCTGGTCGGCAAAGCGTACAAAGTGAAGATCAGCGACTTCGGCACGGACAACGAACTGTACACGGCCGACTATTACAAGCTGGACGGCAAGCTGGGGCTGCCGGTGCGGTGGATGTCGTGGGAATCGGCGTTCCTGGACAAGTACTCGACGAAGAGCGACGTCTGGTCGTTTGCCGTCACCCTGTGGGAAATCCTGAACCTGGCCAAGTGCCGGCCCTACGAGGGTTTCATGGAACACCAAGTGATCGAGAACTTGTCGCACATGCACCTCGACGACGGCATGTTTGAGTATTTGCCCAGACCAGCGTGCAGCCGTGACATCTACGATCTGATGCGCGAATGCTGGAAACGCCAAGAGTCCGAACGGCCGACTTTCCGGGAAATCCATTTGTTCCTGCAACGCAAAAACCTTGGATACGCGCCGGCCGCCTCATGACGGTTTGGTAAGCGCCCCGAGCCCAAGGACTGGCCGTTCGTCCTCAAGGAAAACGCGTCCTACCTACCGCAGAAGGAAATCCGTTAGAAGTCTTTCTGCCGATGTACTATTGACTATTGTTGGGATTGTCGAAAAAAACCACAGTTGAAAATACAAAGAGCTGTAAAAAACACACTCGTTGGTTATCCATACGAAGCGATTCCAAACGAAAAATTCTATAATAACATTACCTATTCTACTATGTACTTGATAATATTATGTTTTTGACAATCTTCGTGACGCCTAGGTTATATTAGATATCATAAAAATATATTATTATATTGTTAATATTTTTTTAAGACGTCCTCGCTGCACATAGACAATTATACTGTAAACGAGCAAACATTTTTTTTTTAATTTGTCAATTATTAATATTTTCTCAACACTTCTTACGAGCTAAACAACAACAAAAACATTACTCTCGTAGATACGCTGGTTTATTGTGTTAGGGCTATCAGGTAAGGTCAATAAATAGTGTTATTGCATTTTTTTTTTAGTTAAGTAAATTACTAAATACTTAATTTTTGTTTAATTATATAATGTATTTAAATATCTATTGATTAAAAGTTTTCAACAAAAATGTTTATTCAACAAATTAATTTACATTCGATCCATTTATATACAATTACCCATACTTGACACTGTTTGCGTAGAAGTCGAGCTGAAAGTCATAATAGACTGATAAAATACAGTAATAATAATGTTAAATAATAAATAATGCTTGGCTTAAACTGTTCGACTGAGACACTTCTATCGGGATCCCAGCGCAAAACATTTTATTTGTATTTCCTAACCATTTTTATTTTTTAAATGTACAAAAACAATATATTTTAAGAAAAAATATCCCAAATCGAAAGAATTAACATATCTATCGTTTTCTCTTTTGTCTAATAGACGATATTTTGAATTAGGAAAATTATTTGATACGATTTATCTAAAATAAAATATTTTGCAATAATAAGTAAAAACAACAACTCCCTCATCTTCTATGTATGTTCTATTTTTTTAAAACTATATTATTAATATGATTATAGAATGAACAAATTTCGCAATAAAACGTTATTATTAGAAGCATAAAATAAACAAACGAAAAATCATGATGTAAATATAGATAATATATTATATATACCTATGTATTATTGTAATATTATAAACATAATCGTATTATACTAGTCAAACCTTTTTTGTATTTTATTTTTACCTAAAATTGTGTATATAGTTTATAATTTATTTGGAAGAATACTTGTATGGCATTTTACACTCGTTTAAACCAATATTATGCATAATTTCTTTTTATAGATTGTGATATATTTTAAGTTATTTTAAAAGCATCTGATGCTGTATTATATTATATAGATCATACAACCACTGTATTATACATTATATTATTGTAATATGTTTATTGTTGAATACCCTCAATTTATATTATAATTACTATTTATCATTATTATAGAATATTATCATTATTATTTTTATGATTTATCGATGAAAATTACTCAATATTGGTACTTTGACATATCATTTCTGTTTAGTTCTGTCATAATCTGCTAATTAACTATTATTTCAATTTTAATTTTTTGTGTACATAGAGACATAATAATGTTTTAATTATGTTTTCTATTTCATAGCTGATCGCATGAGACTTTTTTAACATCAATATGTACATTTTAATATTGTTACAACACACTTATCGTTTAATTATGTATCGTATTTTTATTATAATACGTTCTTGTGTTTATGGCATTTCATGTTCCCTTGCCCTCACCCAATATTATGGAAATTATAGCAATATACAATATTTGTGTTATATTAGCCGACAATATAGAAGTTGAAACATGTTTTGTAATCTTCAACTTGTTTTTATTTTATTTTTCTCGGATCGTGTCACGGTGCGGTGAAATATGAAATACACCTGTGTAATAATGTGGTCGAACGATGATAAAGAATATTAGTTGTGTATGTTGGTAATAACAATTGAAGATAAGTATTAAAAATAAAAGTCTGATCTGCAGGCCTAATCTGTCCAGCAAACACGATTTTATCGATGAGTATTTCGTTGAACTATCAGAAAAAAAACTTGTAAAAAATCCCATTTTTTAAAAAAAAAAAGTTATTTATTTAGATATGAAAACCTCAATTTCGTTTTGGATTTAAAAACATTTCCGGTAGTTTCGAGAAACTAACGAATATACGTCTTGTAGTATATTATTATACATAATATATTGATTTACGGAAATCGGAATTGTCTATACACATACAACTAAACAACAACAAGAAAAAAATGTTTAAAAACCCACAACTGCTAATGAGCTTCGAAACAAATTGTTATGTACATTAAAACAACGGTCAGGTCGTCACTACCACTATGCACTAGTGTATTACATAATATTATATTGTTACAATATGTATATAATATTATTTAATATTTGTCATTCCTCTGCCGGATGTGCAAGATCACTGGCACCGTTCGAGTCTTATGCATGGACATAGGCATGGGCATGGGCTTGGGCATGGGCATGAGCTGGTGTTTTCTCTGGTAAAACTGATGACGGGGCATGACAGGCATGGACACAATGTGCGGAGGTGGCGGGTACATGTACCTCCAGGTCTGCGGTTGGCCTAGTGGAGGCGGCCTCATCACCAATAAATTTTTCAGGTCCTGTCTGTTGGATAGCTTTCGGCCGTACTTGGATCTGTCTGTCGGTTTGGGCGCCGATTTTCTGTGCTTAGGCAACAAACGTTTCTTGTTGACATTCGGAGACGAAGACGAAGCGGCGCTTAACACATGCTTCTTGCTGCTGTAGTCTTTAGTCATGTCATCGCTTTCGTGCACCTGAAAATTTTAAAAAAATACCAATTAACGACTTAGAACGTAAAACACTGATAGTAATAAAATGTTATTTGTGGTATTCAAAGAAAATAGAATATCATAAAACTAATAATTAAAAAAAAAAAACGAAAATACCCAATGTAAAAATGTTTAAACGCGTAAAAACATGTCTGGGTGATCCAATGATTTTATACAATTAAATACTTATAATTAAAATAGAAAATAACATATAATTGGGCTTAATGCCTTAAAAAAATTATTATTTACTTAATTCATACTTGAAATTAGTACATCATTTATAAGACATTTAATTTAATGTTGAACGATTAAAATAATTCAACTTACGACAGCTATTTTTTATTAAATGATTCTAAAATATCAACTATAATTTTATACATTCTATATATTTTTTAAATGGACGACAGAACTTTGGTTTTTTTCTGGATATAAAAATGAGTAGAAATCAAAATCAATTGATAGCTAAATGTTTTAAAAACATGTAGCAAAACAGTTTTTAGTACTTTATTTTATTGGACACTCATTAAAGAAATGTAGGATAAGTGTAGGCAACAAAAAATACAGTTACGTTCGTATATTTCAGGAGCAACATTAAATGTAGACTATTTTATCTGTGCAATAAAAACGACTAGTTTCCATTAAGGTTTATTCGTATTATCTAAAGACAGATTGACATTTACTACTCTTTCTAGGATATATTTGTTTTACTAAAGAGCCAATTCATTACTTTAAAACTTCTAGGACGCCAGACCACCTTTTAATTAAGGCGTAAAGGGTAGGCGATTGTTCGATAAAATGTATTATAAAGAGTAAAGACAACAGATTTATATTATTTGTATAAATATATAGACAGAAATACTTACATAGCAAAGCTAAAAGCATAATAATACTTAATATGTTTTTTTGTTTTTTTTTTACGAGGACGCCTCGTCTTTTTAAATTTAGATGTAAAAACTAGCAACTGATTAATTTAGTGCCATATGATGGTAATCGCAAAGTTTTAAAATTTTGGTAACATTTAGAAAGCCAGAAAGACCAAAGACCACTTTACAGACACTGCATAACCAATAATAATGATATAACGATAATAATAGACGCTAAAATAGTCGAATAAAAAAAATGAGCTACCCATGAATATTTTTTATTCTGTTCTAATTAAATTATACCAATGTTGTTAATTTAAATAATGATTTTGACATAAATTGCCTTTACAGAACCCCTTTGAAAATCGAAAATTGTGTCAGGTAAACCACGATAAAAAGGGTCGTTCTTCGGAAATGTTTTAATGCCGTTTAAAAATGGAACGGAGAAGGTGTGTTTAGTGGGTTTCTGGACCAGACCTGATACGTATGAGGCCCGTCGGGTATTGAGTTGATGTCGAATTCGTCGTGTGCGCTATTGTCGCCGATGCCGCTTATGCTTGGATAATGTTCGTTAAGCTCATGGTCGGGCCCGGTGTCTTCCGCAATGGTGTAATAGGATTCGCCGGAATGGCCGTTGTAGTTGTTCTGCTCGGGTTCGGCGGAAACGTGCTCGCCGCTGACGCTGCTACTCGCTGAACCACTGCCGCCTCCTCCGGCGCCACCGTTGCGGTATCAACGGGGTCGCTGTTGGGGAACTCCGATGACAGGTCTTGGTTCAACAGGGACGAGTCGTCGACCACGTGGTTCTGATGGTCGGCGTGTTTGGCCTCGGTCAGAGGAGCGGCGAACCCGGTCTGATGCATGACCGGCACGTAAATGTGAGGTATCAGATGCAGGTGGATCATGTGATTGTGTCTATTGGGCGAGCCGCTGGTTTCAGCCGGCAAGTGGTTGTCCACTTGGTCGCCGCCGACGGAATTTTCGAAATGCGTATCCACTTCGTCGTGGATCGAATGGTGTTCCGGAAATTGCGACTTCAGGAGATGCGACGGTTTGAACAAAGGCCTCCATGATCCTATAAGATAAATCGAAAAATCAGTATTAATTATTCAATCATAATTGGTGCTCATTGTATTATAGTGGATTTGTGTCTATTTGTACGCAAACACTGAACAACATTGGGATAACCATTAACCACGCCTTACAGCGAGTTAAACAAAAGCCAGATACAAATTAAAGGCCTACGCGCATACGAATAAAAGTCTAGAGATATAACTTAGGGAAAATATGTTGGTAATTATTTTTTATTTAATAATACTTACAATTTTTAATTTACTATTTTCAACGACATTATATAGAAACCTATCTAATAGCACAAAACATTCAATTGGATTTCTCACCGAGTCCCTAATGGGCAAAATGTTATATTCCCCGGGAATTCCTATTAGTTTCCAGCGATCGATTTTATGTTTTAAATAATACATAACAAAAAATAAAAATAATTTAAATGACACTGATATAATTAATATATCTGACAGATATATTCTTGCCGTTTTTCGATGAACGTCGAAGTGTCAAGTGAGAGAACAATATCGTTATTTTGTATTATTTCATTCTGGTGTAAACACTGCGTACGAAAACACTATTTGTTTACAGTACTTACAGCCACTAAATTAATTTTCGATGCATTTCTATGTTGTTAATAATTATATTACTTGATCTTGATGTGAAATTAGATTAGTTAAGATTAAGTTAATAGCCATATTATGTTAAAAATTGTAAAACGGTAAGGGTGACGTGGGAAGCCATGTGTGTATAAGAGATGGTGTATATAATATGTACGTATTAACACGTTCACTGTCCTAATGTTAAATTAAATCAAAAGTTATCAGTCCTATGATCCATATATGGGTCACGTTAAACCTATTTAAGTAGTCCATGATCCACATGTGGTTCATTTCAAACATTTATTTCTCTGGATATTTATTTGTATGGACTATATTCTATGAAATTCATAATAACACAGTTGGACAGGTGAGATGATAGGGACTTAATTAATTAATTAATTAATAAATTAGGGACTTATCTAAAAATAAATCATGAACCACATAGGGGTCAGCGGACAGTGAACGTGTTAACATATGCATTGTATATCCCCCTATAACATTCATAATGTTTTTTTTATAACATTTTATAATTCCATGACCATAGTTGTGTCTGGTAACAAAATTTCATGATTTTCTACTGTAGCAAATTACATTTTATTGTATTTAGTGACTTTTGTAATCGGTTACGCTGCGTCTCTCGAATGCTTCAAAATTGTATTTTATTATAAACGTAAAAAAATTCCGGATATAGAATAAAAATATATGAATAGCTTTGGGCACGTACAATAGTGCGTGGGAT